TTTTAGTATCATGTATGACAAACAGCTATATCCGAGACTGAACGTACCTGCCACAAACCCGTCCAAAGACTGCGTATCTCCAGATCAATGATATCTTTACAGCCTGGTATTCGAAGATGTCCTTCCCACGAATGAGTCGAAGGGCCTTTGTTAGGTAGCGAAGTTTCGACGTCTACCCGGTCCACCTTGCCTCCGCCGTTGCTTTGTCTTGATCATAAATGGAATCGAAGACCAGTTCTAATGGGGTTCCAAGTATCTACCAGCACTTGAACTGCGCAGCTGAAGCCTCTGAGGTGACACTTTTGCATTTTCGATATTTAATGACAGATTTACCTGTTGTTTCGACGGTATCGCAGCTTGATTTCTGGGGAGAATCTGGTTAAGTCTACGATCAGGACGCGTAAGCACATGCATACGGGGATAGCCAGCCCACTGCCTTTGGTCAATGATATCAAGCAGAACCGCGGCGAACTCTGACCGATTTGGACGGCGACTGCAAAAGGGAGTCCACTCCTTTGTTTGCTCTCCTAAAGCTATGGTGCGTTTTATGGTGGCGCTGACATCAGCTAACAGTCATCATTCTTCCGTCTCGGTTTGGTTAAGGACTCCTTTGTCTACTGAGGCCCGATCACCGATAGTTGGCGTTGTACAATGCGCGGCTGCAATGCAGGAGGATTAGACACAAATCAGATAGAGCCAACTCAACGGTACCTAGTGCCGGCATGAAAACGTCATATTCATTGACTAGAGACGCCTAATTCGCTAGTAACAGATCAAGGTCCAGGCCGGACGTTCTCTGGGAACAATCTTGACGAAGAAGCGTCCGTGACTATAAATCGTCTTTTCTCATAGAGAAGACATAGTCAGAGAAGAATCCTTAACGTTAATAGATATTCCGTCAACGTCCAAGTGATAGCAATGCAAAGAATGGCATATCAAGTGATTCGTAAGTTCAAAGAATCTACCGTCTCGTGATAGTCGTCCGGAGCGGAACCTGGCCACCAGTAGAGGAGACTGTAGGTTAATCCGGGCAGCCTGAGATGATTTCTGCTGTTCCTTCGATGCCCATGTGGAAGGAATTCAGAAGAGACTCAAAAAGTGATAAGCACATAATGAACCTCTGGCGGCTAGCGACGGAGGTTAAACAGTATAGGCTGAATTGAACGTGTCCGACTGCCTGCATTAATTTCCGACGAAATGCCATAATTGTACAGACATACCTTTATGTTACTCGCAATCGCTCCACGCCGGAAGTGTCCCTCGGAGAAGAGTCATATCAACGGGACCATAGGGCTCGATGCCTATGGGAGAGCGAAGAGTCACAAGTCCAATTTTACTTGTGAAATGGCCGGTCCATTCAGACTGTCCAATAGACAGCTGTGTCAGGCTGATTGCTCCAAGGTGAAGACTTCACTGCGCCTGCTGTATCAGGTTGCTATGATGTACATTGGATGATGTATCCTTCTTATTGTCTTGCACATACCAAGTTCCCAGTGAGCATTCGTTGCCGACCTTACGGTAGGCGCCATGTATGTGAATGTTCCGATTCGACTGCAAAAGCTTATTTCCCGCCAAGGGAGAACGTTCACGTGCTTGTTTTAGCTTCGGTTACCCGGCCCGAATAGGACACATATTTTCCCACCTTTTCTCTCAGAGTACTAGTCAAGCGTCTACAGGTCTCCAGTCTTGTATTACCATTGAACGCGAAGGAACTTCTTATGCGACATGGAGTAGCCATATATTAGTTGCCTATCAAAGGCTCTTGTTACTCTGAGTCAGGCCCGCTCGAGTGAGGTGACCACGATACCCAATCTTCTGTTCAGTCGATGAACGTTACTAAGGGGCGAAGTGCTCGATCGGTATGCACCCGGCGCGCATAACAGCAGAGAAACTTATTTCATTCACGGTTATAGCCTCTTGTAGATAAAATCTGCTGACACGGCAGGATTTTTGATTCTAGGCGCCCAGTCCCTTTTCGCGGAAGCTCAAAGAACTCTGGTAATCTTTCAACAAGTATGTCGACGAAGATAGAGAGTGAAAAGGTTATATCAATGTACTCCTTGTCCTTCTTGCTTGAACCGAACGTCCTCGGTTTTTACAGACCACATGATACGTGCGGCGTTTAACTTCTGCTCTCCGAGTCCATGGACGGGTTCCCAAGCTAGTCTGAACGCAGTGTAAGCTTACTGGCAGCTGGTAGTCACTGGGATTGACGTGAAATCCCTGAGATTAACATCTAGACGTGTAGTTCAATTGTCTCGTATCCTCCAGCAACTTCCTTACACGCTTATCCCTCTCCGTGGAGCTATCGGGGGTCCGACGGACCACTCGCGCCCTTCTCTGTGACCAGAAGATGCTATCATCGCAGCCCTTTGTGCCGAGGAAATATCATTCTGTGATTTATACCCACGCCCGTGTCCTACAAGCTTGTCAGCTTATCCGAGCACCGCGCAGATGGTAAAAAATGCTGGGAAGACCGGTCCTTCGGGTGGGGTCCATTGAAACTATCCTTTGCGCATTAATTGATTGTCCGTTAGTCTGGCATCGAGTCAGGTGTATCCTCTCATATCTGTCCCCCTGATCGGCATGTCCATACGCTGTACTTTTGACTTCGGGTACGTTTCTTTAACTCCGCCTCATCTTTTCCTTCGAGGACCGGCGTTGATTTCTATCAGACAATTGTATCTGCAGTAACACTCATCAAGTGATTGGTTCAATCAAGGCTGAATCTGTCGCCTACACCACTATCTTTTGAAGGTGGCCTGGAGCTTGGTATCGCCACGGTTGTGAATTCAGAAGATAGTCTGAGGCAGCAGCAGACCTCGGTTTGTCAAGTAAAATTTCGGCTTGCTCTACTGGAGGAATACACGTGCCTAAACTTAGACGCCATTTGACCAAATGCACGTTTGCCGACTTTCGCGTAACGGCGAATTCGAACTGGTGGTTACGCGTAGAATTAAAAAAGGTATAGTCCGGATCCGGAATCCGGTAATCGGCAATAGCCGACACCTACCCCTTCCACCACCCCGTCATCCGGGTTCCAGTATTGACCCCAGACTTACCGCTATCAACACCGGGTCGCATCCCCAAAATTTGTTTGCTTAAGTAGAAGGAATGACAAGGAGATTGATACCCATTTCCTCTAGATTCTAGAGATATTCGGACCTGATATTGTACGTGGCGAATGGTCTTACTCTCATTACGAGTTTACTGAAACAGCAGATTTGCCTTCCTAGATTATACATACTCTGCACTATGGACGCGTTTCCACAAGAACTCATCGAGGCCATCATTGATGAACTTTTCGACGACCGAGAGGCGCTCAAAGCTTGCTCTCTCGTCTCACAATCATTCTTTCCTCGCTCCCAGAAACTTCTCTTTTCTTCTATCGTACTCGACTCTCGAGATGATACTAGTCGAGTGCATAACCCTTCGGTTGATTTTCTGAAATTGTTAGCGCGGTCGACACGTATAGCCCCCCTCGTCCGGAACTTTACCGTCTACAACTTTACCTGGGGGAAAAACAGCTGGTTCACACAGGACCAGAATGTCGTGCCGAATATAGTTGGCTCCCTAACCAACCTGAGAAAGATGACTATCTCAGGGCGACACTACGACCGAAGGTGGGACGGCTCAAGCGACATCCGTACTTCGTTGTGTCAAAGTTTCTCACTGCCCCACCTCAAATCTCTTTCCTTAAACTATACATCTTTCCTACGACCCTCCGATTTCCTCCAGCTGTTCAGCAACAGCCGTGATCTGGCAGAATTACGACTGATGAATGTCTACATCAGCGACCAGCTCAGCCTTCAGGCGCATCCGGACCGCGAGCACAATACTCCTATCAACGACGAGCAGTTGTCTCAGCGACCGAAGCTCCGATATCTGCGCATACAGAACGTGCCTGTCGTTCTCATTGACACGCTCACCCACGCTCACTCTCCGCTGGACCTCAGCTCTCTCCGAAGGCTCCAAGTATGGTCCGATCATGGAGATCAAAGTGACCATCTCCAGCGTCTTCTTGAGGCTGCCGGCGATGCGTTAGATGAAGTCGTGTTTCACGGCTTCTCGTCATGTACGTCACTGCCTACACACTAGCTTTGAACTAAACTAAATTCCGAGCATTACAGCAACGAACGGTTTGGATATCTCCCATGTCCCCAACATCACATGTTACTTTTCCAACTTCTTTTCCGACCGTGTGGGCAACCACACGGTGCTATCTGGATTGACGGAGCTGTTTTTCCAGCGATACTCTCGCGACACGTCCCGCATGGAGACTGTCACTTTTAATTTGCGATCGCACCCTAAAGCCATTATAGATTGTCCACGGGATGAGTGGAGGCGACTAGAGGAAGCGATGATGGTGGTGAAGAGGAAGGTCAGGTTTGAGATACCTGTCAGGGATATGAAACGGTCCATGAGGGACCCATTAGAGAGGGAGTGCTTGGCTGCAGTGAGAAGGGGTATGGGCATGTTGAGCGATAGGGGAATCTTGGAGGTAGACATGGTGCAAGGACCATAACGGCAGGACTTGGACTTTTCTTGGACCACCTGGACGCTCTTTATTTCAACTGCATTCCTGTAACAACATCAGATACCAATGTATACTGTCCGCTATCACGATTTTCATCTCTTAATTCTAACATAGCTTACGAATTGATCGACTAAAGACAGTGTGATGGATCAACAAACCCTGGGTTTACGACTGATTGGTTGTAGGCAAGCGGACCGTCGATGTCAACAGAAATACTACGTCTGGAGACGAAACGTAGCATTTATGGGTACCTTTAAAGTTTGTATGTTCTTTTATTCCCGCACAAGATATGCCTTGGGCTGAACGGGTCATTGAGCCCAGCCAAGTGACTTGATTCTAGCGGCTCGTCTCGGCAATCGACAATCGACATGATGAGGCATGAGTCGCATGGCGCTAGTAGGAAGATTTGCAAAATATACTTCTTTTTAGAAAAAGAAAAGAACACTGCTAGAAACCACCCTTATTCCCCCTAGCCGACTTGAACGACTGACCTCGTCATTACAAGTGACGCGCTCTACCAACTGAGCTAAGGAGGATTGGCGATTGATTATATTTACACACTACCCGCCTGTGCGATTCAAGAATGAAAGAAAATTCTTTTTCAATACGAAATTTGGTCGGAGGACGCGACTACCTAAGCGCGAAGACATCTCAACTCTGGCCGATAAAGTAAAATATATAAGGCATACACACCTGCAATACTATTACTTAGTAATTAACCCAAATAGCAAAAACCTTGCTTCTGTGTACTATCCTATGTAACTAGACAACCAATATGCTTGAATTCCAGGAGCCCGGGCACAAGGGGTATTACGCTAGTAGTGTAGATGCTCTGAATCACGATCTATCAAAAACTGATTGGGAAAATAATTCCCGCTAGCCGGATTGAACGACTGACCTTGTCATATTAATGTAATATACGAGTGACACGCTCTACCACTGAGCTAAGAGGGACTATCTCAACTTTCATCTTTAACTAGTATCATTGAATGGACTCAATTTTGACTTCAACCTCATGCCCACCGCATGGTAGATGGTGGCAAGCAAAATTTACCTGCTTCGGTAGACGCTTCGACATAACTTAACACCCCACAACCATGAACACTGGTAGCGACTATGATGAAAAAGTTGCTTGTCGATTAGGCAAAGCACTCTACCACTTTGCTCAGTCTTACGTATCCCTCAGACGGAGTATCTTCGACAATTCCTAAAGGAGAACGTCCATCTCGCGAGCGGAAGTGAAGATGAAATAAAGGTGTTAGTTTTCGGAAACATAGAAAAGTTCGAAAATAGGTGGTGCCAGATCGTTGACCAATTCACCGAAGATAGGAGGAGGCTGCAGTCGTTCCACGAAATGGACGAGTATTTGATGAAGATGGATGATCTGTGTAACAAGACGCTGAAAACATACGAAGAGTAAGTCCTAGTGCTTATCCTGGCTGATACTCCCGATTTACGTGCCTAGTTACATGCTGATGCCTATCAGTGCTCGATCCGCCATCAAGACAATCATCAGAGGTATATTTCCCATGCTCTCAACGCCATTACAGTGGCGGGCCCTCGATTATTTTGAATTCTACCTGTGAGTTCCAGAAACCACTGGAGCGGCGCCGCGTTGCGTAAACTCCCTTGTAGAAATCAAATCAACCAGGACATGTATGATATGTATGAATACACAAGGCTACTTGAACCTCGGTACCCCTTAGGGTCAGAGTCTAATATGGGCGGTATTGACTGTGAGAAACTGCATAACCGGCTGGAAGAGCTTGAGTACGCCTCATCATTTTCGTCGTTGCTAACGAGAAGACCTAATGCATAAAACAGAACTTGTGCACTGCACCCACCGAGCGAAAGTGCTATGAGTCAACGGAAACAGGAGAGATATGACACCATTACCGGTGACCTCGGTTCCGAAGAGCAACAACCGACTCAAGCGAAATCTAAGGGGACGAAGCTCTTGTCTAAATACGATATATTCAAGAGAGATTCCCCGTACGTCGTACTGTGCATCGTGATTATTGCATGTCGCTTTGACCGCAATTTGAAGATTGTCCGACTCAAATAACGTCAAGAACTCATTGGACGTAGATTCCAATACTTCAGACGATCTTAGTAGTGTCAGTGCCTTCCATTTCGACGATGTCACCCTGTCAGACGAGGAGCCCCTGCTAAGGTCCGTACAGATGCCAGTGATCTCGAGGGTATCAGCGCCTGATTTTTGCATTAGCGGAGAAGACGAAGGCGAAGAGGATATGCCTACCTCAGGAGCATCAGCCTTTATGAGGAACATCAACAATCATGGCGATCCTCCCGAGCCCCAGACCGACACATTAGGAACATATAGCGACGCCTCAAATCGCTCTCCATGTTCAAGTCGTTCGTCACTCAGCCCCCCTTCATACCATTCAACTAGTAATAAGGCTGTGGGGAAAAGTCCCGGCCTCGTCGAAAGATTCGAACAAGATCCCTTCTTCGCTATCACAACAAAATATATCAACCCAACGCAATACTTTTTGCTTCGCAGAGGAAACTGTGAGGTACCCTTTAGGGTGGTTCGAGGAGGCATAAAGGGCGACGTTTGGTCCTTCGTGGTCAACTTGACATACACAAAGGAGCAGATGCGACAGTTATTGCAGTCATGTCGTCCAGCAGACAACAAAATGCCCGAGGACCTCGTGCAAATGCTCCTTTATCGCCCGAGTTCTATCCATAAACGGGTTGTAGTCGCCAAGAAGGATGATACCCTTTACAAAGTTGTCGACGTTTACATCGAAGAGGAGTGGAAATTCGGGTTAGAGCGTGAAGTGACGTTCGATGAGCTGAAGAACATGTTGCGCCAAAGTTTGAGGATGGAGAAGGGATCTGAAACCTTGTAGATGTATTTGATGCTTGTGTTCGAGTTCTTATTACCCGCACAATAACGCGCCTTGATGCTAGGCCAATCAGATAACGTTGTAAGATATCTTCAAATAGTAGGACCTTCAATGTCCGACACTGACGCATTAATTTGCTTCAATCTAGGCAGATCTAGGGTAAGGTTTGGCACTTCATGTCCAACAGTTAATGATCGAGACGATCGTGCCTTCGAGATAAGATTTGGCGTTCAGTCGACTGCTATCATGACTGGTTAGCGCACCGGTAGACAACCGCTATCCAAGTGTGTGAGGCATCCACGTTAAAACCTTACAAATATATACACTAAATGATCGAGTCTTGATTCTTCGTCCCCAAGTGCCGAACAGGGTATGGGAGAAAATCTCGATCACTGTCCACTAAAAGGTCCGCGGGGGCAGACGTGTGCTGTGCTGGTTGTGGAATAGCAAGCCAGACGCTCGTCTATCTTTATGATGAGTAAGGAATCCATGTAACTGTGACGTACTAGCAGTGAATAGGCGCCTAAGTGTGGCACGTGCCGAAACGCATACATGGACAGCGGGCTTAGGCGCCGTTATCAATCTGACATCTGTTTCCCTTCCACCCACAGAACCATGGATGGTCGACCTGGAAACAGTAGGAATTTGAACGCCTGTATCACTATTTCGCATGCATTGCATCACTTTCTTTCGATAATACAAAGTTCGCACTCTCAGGAAGACGATTACAGCGACATCAATGCAGGCAGAAAGCGCCTATCCTTGACCTTCGGGAGTAGGCAGGAATTCGAGGATTGGTGGACCAGGGAAATTGAAAGAATGGACCAGAAACGACGAGCTCTAAGCACCTTTGACGAAATGAACGATCACTTGGAATACTTGGAAAGTATTTGCAGGACAACGGCCATCCAATCCAGTAAGGAGTAAGTACTTGACTTCGCATAGGACGATTGAATGCACTCACAGAGAAGCAGATATGAAATGAAATTCATCTGCGCCCAATCCGCCGTGAAACTCATTACACAAGGAATATTTCCCGTTGCACCAGATTCAGTAGTGGTGGCATCATTGGATCTCCTCGATTTTCATTTGTGCGTGAAGTCACGCCTACTCCCAATGGTTGCTTAATTCCCCTTGTAGAGGTAGGAAGCAGGATCATAAATTCCAGAGAATTATGGCGCCCCAATGGGAAGATCCAAATCCTATGACGCAGGAGACGAAGAAGAGGATTTCCAAAATAGAGTATATCCTCTGTCCTCTGGTCGGTTTCAGTTCGTATACTTATGACATTCGTGACAGAGACTTGTGTCGTTCTGACCCCATCCTCGTGCATCGAGCCTCGCGTGTGCTAGATCCACCTCTTATTGGTGAAAGGGCTCGATCTCCTTATCAATTCGTGAATGTATACGTCAAGGAAACAAAGTGAGCCATAAAGATCATCTAAAAGAAGGCGCTGAACGATTATGGGAACTCGTAGGCCTCGAAACACTTTTGCAGACATGCTAGAGGCGATGCGGAGCAAAGCACAGTGCGTTGATACTAATCCGAAGTACAAATCAGAGTGCCATCTTCAAATTTGAAAGAAAGGGCGAAGTAACATCTTTAACAGGGCGAGTAGTGAGCAAAAGAAGCAGCCCCCCCAAGGAAACACGGACCAGTCCAGGTCTACCTCTGAGAAGAGTCATTTACGTTCCGACTATGCAGCAGAACCCGCTGAGTTAGATGGGTTCGAAAACCTCAGCTCGGAGACTCCCTTCAGGTGAGAAGAGCCCCCGAAAGCCTGCACGTCAGAAGAAAAATAATGGTCCTGTTAGCTACGACGACGATTCAGGAGACTCAGAGCTTCTTACCATAATCAGAGAGGCTTTTTCAGATTCAGAGCCAGATTCCGCAGCACCCAAGACACCTGAAAGCCGACGCCGTAGCTCCAGTTGTGCGCCCAATACCCCATCGCCGGCGAAAAGAAACATAGAAGACGACGAGCCAAATCTGGACCAATCCTCATTTACCACCTCGAAAGAGGAAGATCTCGCCGTGATGTTCTATGGAAATCCTTGGTTCGCATTCAAGAAGCGAAATCCAAAACAGGTGTTCTTGTGGGACTATAACGTCAACTGCGTACCCTTCAAAGTTGTGAAAGGAGGGAAAGTATTAGGCGAGTGGGTATTCGCCCTTGACATGGTGTATAGGAAGGACGCATTGTATCAGTTGCTGATGGCCACGTCATTCCATGGTAATGACCCTGGAAACAAGATGATTGATATCCTGCGGAAATTTGATGCGCAGCCGGAGGTCGTCTACAAGAAAACGTTCGTAACGAGGGATAAGGGTTTTCAGTTTACGGTCAAAGAACTCTGGTGCGACGAGGAATGGAAGTTCAACCTAGAAGCGAAGGTCACTTTCTCAAGGCTCCACAGCATGATGAAGACGAGCCGTAGGGTGCAAATGGAATCAGAGTTGTGGCCGGACTGGTTAGATTATCTTGAAAAGTAGCGAGGTTCTGGAGATTTGAGACTGAAGAGTGAAGAGTGAAGACTTGGTTGTCGGAATGTACACACATAACAGGGACAATTTGTATTATCATTTTTTGTGTTAACAAGAAGCTCATCGGGATGATTGACAACTTTAACGATAGAAGCCTGAACAATCAATATGAGGTCGAATGAGCACGCTTCTAAGGCAGGACATTTTATGGGGCCGCAAAAGAACAACCATCAACGTTGATGTGAAAGAAGACAAGTGCCGCACACCAATATGTATTATTAGCTCGCAGAGTATGGAGAGAAAAATGAGCGAAGGCAGTTATACACTTTCCTAGACTCACTTTGAAAGCAAACAAATCAATCGTCCAACTTCAATATCTTTATCGCAGTACCCCGCTTCAGTCCTAGCAGCTCTTCGCTTGTCAGCACGTCTGCTAGACTATTGACCCACTCCTGGCCTTCACTGATTAGAGCGAAGGGATAATCAATCGAATGCATAATCCTATCCAAACCTATCTGTGACTTGTGGAATTGAAGCAACGGCGTCGCGAAGTTTCCAGCAGTCGTCTCATACAAATTCGTGAGCCAATACGAGGACGCATTCCGCTGCATAGGAATTCCCAGGGGAACTTGGCGAAGGAGTTCTTTCACAGCAAATGAATCAAGACCGTGAAAGATGGCATGCCATTACAAGACTTACGTTCATCAGTTCTGAATAAATCCGAGGGAAGTCTTTCCCCGAGATGGCCAACGATGATTTTGAGAGTTGGGAACCGGCTGTCCACATTTGTTAATCGCACATGTACACAAACGCAAACGGCAAACGCGCTTACTCGAAAACCCCGTTTGTACATAACCCTAATATGTGTGTCGACAGTGTTGCCTGCAAACTTCTGGGCAGCGCCTTTGAGTCCAAAGCCATGGCTATATACCAGCGACGAAATAAGCTGAACATTCGTTCTGGGGTGGAAGTACACCGGGACGTCCAGGTCCGTGACCATCTGCCAAAATTCATCGTATTCCGGCTGGTCATAGTACAGGAGCGTGTCTGCAGACACATTATATACCTCGTGCGCCGTGGGGGTAACACGGAAACGTACCGTTATCCGGTCCAGACTGCTGATAATCATTAACCAAAGCTCCGAGGAAACCTAGTTCATTTAACGGTCCGGTTGAGTTCTTGAGCGGCTACAGAGGCGTTGTGCATAGATAAGGCTGCGAAAGCGCCAAACCGCAGGGAATTGTTTGAGATAGGATCCGATAAGACGTTGTTGAGATTCACCGCCATCGAAGCGGCAATTTCTGCATCGGATACCCCTGGACGCAAGGTTGTGCACAAGAGAGAACCATCTGAGTGCGCCATTCTGAAATCAATGTATCTTCAGAGGACAGAGGCATCTTACGAAGTCAATACCAAACTCATCCATTTGTGCCAGCCTTTGATTATGGATATCAACGAGATTTGCACGAAGTTCTGCGATAGTTTGGACCTAATGTAGTATGTATTCAGATTGACTATAGACACCAAAGACCGGGAGACGCACCGATAGCGGGTGCAGCACTACATTTCTTCCAATTAATATTTGCGTTGTCCCGTTAAAAGATAACGCTTACCCCACTGTCCCCGCAAGTTCGGCAGTTGTCCATGCCTCTTCAAAAACGATAGCTCCAACGCCAGTATCATTCCATACTCTGGCGTGAGCGAACGACACCGCGGTAAGAGTAAGCAGAAAGAAATGTTTCATTTCCTAGCAGCGATAAGGCGATACACCCCGGTGTTTCCACCGCCATATATACTATTTCCCGGAGGGAGATGACTGAGCATAAGAATAACCTGGTAGAAATCGTACCGTATGGTATGAAGCACAGATATCCCTAACTGGGCTCAAGAATGCATGTCAGAGGACATGTCTTACTCATTGGAAACCTCGGGTGTTGTGTGCCAATGGAGAGAGCACGTCACGGGAGGAAATCAGAGAACAGCATGTTGCGATGTACGCGGGAGCTCAACTTGAGGTAGATACATTCGAGAGTTCTTGAACTAGGAATAATGCTTGATTAGTATCAGAAGAAAAGCTAGAAGAATCTGAATAGTAGATAATGCACCTCTCATCAACACCTGCGGCATATTTATTGACCAGAGAGATGAATACGAGAACAGAGACAGAGAAAAGGACAGAATACGAGTCTCTGCGGCTGAGGCACAACCTCAGTACCGATAGCTCGTGACACGAGTAACAATCGCACTTCTCACGAATGTAAGACACTTCGTACACTGCGGAGAACGCAGGAGAGCCGTAGTAGGTTTGAGTATCGAGGCCTTTCCCATCGTAGTGGTCTAAAGTCAAGCGCCATTCCGCCGGTCCGGTACCGCCGACCAGCCACACTAAATTAAAATACAAATCGGAAGAACCCACTCATCCACGACCCATATTAATCTCGCCTTGTACTCCACCGGCAGCCAACCGCCCCAGGGTACATTATGTACATTAATATCCCTCCCCATCTCAGATCCACGCAGAAAACTTTTTCGACCTCATGATCATCAGATTCAGTACTCGGATTCGCCTCAGGCTGGTCTATTCCAATTCTCCTTACCACATAATGACCAAACGAGTCTTCTCCGGCTCCGAGGCTTCTCTAAATTTTATCGCCACTTTTCATCTCGTCCAGGGTTCTCTACCGAAGAGGATGATGGAAAAGAAGTCGTCGTATACAGACAGCTCTTTCATCTTTAAGGCTTCCCGCTTTGGAGAGACAATCGTGCGTAGTATCGTACTCTATAAGATTGGTATCAAACTGTCTCTGCTGTCTGGATACAAATGTATATGATTAAATCTTCATGATCTTTGTTCCCAATAAGTCATTCTGCTTGTTATTTTTTAATAGCGATCCCATCTTCACTTTCTGATGATGCCCCGTGGTTTGATGAGTGAGAACTCAGTCACTTAGTAGTATGGCACCCGGACCTCCTATGCCAAAGTGGATATCCAACGCGGCCATCTGGAGATTCGGCAGGAGAATCTCTTCGATGCGGAGCAAAATCATTTCTGTATGAAAATAAGTGAGGGTAGCTTCACAAAGGGATGAAGAAAAGACAGCTGTGACCGCAATTGTTGTAAATTAAACATCTGAGTTCAAGATTCGCAATGCGAAACGTGAAGGACTGCCAAAAACAGGTAAAAACCTTCTAATGCCCTTTAACGACTTCCCTCTAGCCGACTTGAACGACTGACCTCGTCATAGCTAACTACTAGTGACGCGCTCTACCAACTGAGCTAAGAGGGACTTCTCTATTAGTGTATCCCTATTATTATTATATATCGGTCCAAGATCACCATCTGGCGAAAACCTCCACACTGCCGTTAATCAGGTACCCTCCCTCTACAACACGGCCCTGAACCTGAGAATCCCTCTCCCGTCGGTACCTCTGGCATTTAAAGTATTCGCCCACTCGGCACCGGCTATCACACTTCCATACCACGCTGTCCTTTCAACATGGCCAGAAATAATTGACACAACACGGTCCCTCCTCGGGACACTTTTCGGATATCATTGAAAACCCTCCTATGTACACTAAATATGTACACAAGCAGAGCTACCAATCAACTAAACGAAGGGGGGATATGTACACACACTGCGTATTTACGAAGGGGAAAAAGGTGGAAAAACGACGATTAAACACAAAGCATAGTAGTAACAGGATATCGATATATATAACATTAAATTGACTTGGGGGAGACGGAACAACGAGCGGCATTGGAAGGAGAGAGAGGGAAGAGTAAGGACGAAAAGAGAGAAAGCCCAAAGAATAAAACAAAAGTATCAGCGGTCACCGTCACCATAATACCCATATGTGCCCGCATTGGTATACCACTGCTGCTGCGGCTGTTGTTGTGGCTGCTGCTGCTGTGGATACCCGCTCTCACCACTAAAATCGTCAAAGCCGGCGTTCGGAGAACGGAAGCCATTCCCATTTTCCGAAGCCCCATTTGCACCATTCTGATACGGCTGGTATCCAGCATCGTATTCGCCAAAGGGCGGATACTCAATTTCCATATACCTCTGAGGAACCCTCTGCGGCTGCTGCATCCCGTAGTGGTGGTAATACTGCTGCTGCTGCTGTTGGCTGATCATTACAGAGCTCCATGACCGAGAGTCGTCGCGACTGTGGTCGGGAGCCGGTGTCATCTGGGCCGAGAGAGGGATTGGAGGGGTAGTCGGCTCCGTCTTGAGCGGGGACGTGGAAGGAAAATGGAGACTCAGATTCTGCTGCTGCGAGGGCTGCTGCTGAGGGAGATACCAGTTGTTGATAGGGGGTTGATGTGGCTGGGGCTGTGCCTGGTCTAAGGAAGAAGGGAGGGTATGAGGATGAGTTGGCTGTGGAGGGACGTCGAAATAAATGGTGGCCGCCTGAGGAGGACTGGGGGGGAGGTGGGAGGGGGATGAGGGATGAGAGCGGCGGGAGGGTGGGCCCGTTGGCAGTGCCGGGGCGGGAGGAGAAGCCGAGTGTGGCGGGGATGGCGTTTGCACCAGATGGCTGGGCGGGCTGGTTCGCGCCGGCGACGGATGGTTGGTCACGAAAGGACTGGCCGTTCCGGGGGTCACGAAAGGACCGAAAGGAATTACTCCCTGGTCCGGCAGAGGGCGCGGAGGCCGAATTCGGATGCGCAACGCTGTGGTCGCTGGATGCCGGCGTCGGCGTCGATATGTGCCAGGTGTCGCCTTCGTAGCCCGTGCTTGTGCCAGGCCGAATCGTGTCCGGCACCTTGGGCGGCACGCGCCGGATCCCCCGGGACTTGTTCGCCGCCGCCATCGATGCATGCAGCGTCGTGAGATCCCGCATCATCCGCTCGTTGTCCTCCTGCTTGTCCGAGTGCACCGTCTGGGCGTGCTGGCGCAGGTTGTCCAGCCGTGAAAATTGCTTCCCGCAGTGGCACGTAAAAGGGCGCTCTCCAGTGTGCTTCCTGCGACGCGATGAGTACTGGCAGGACAAGAGAGAAGGCACGGTACCTGATATGCCTCGCGAGGTGCTCTGATCTGCTGAAGACCATGCGACACTCTCCATATCCCCTGCACTGGAAGGTCTTGGCGGGGGCGGGGCGGTAGCGCTTGGTGATGGCAGCAGACGGCGGGGGGACAACCATGGTGGCCATCGTGTCAGACGACGAGGACGAGGACGGATGCGGCTTGGGCTGATCAGGGGAGGGAGTACGTCCACGAACCATGGGTACTCTGTTGAAAGGAACGATTTTAAGGTACATTGATTGTCGCAGCGGAGTCTGAAAGGCTTGAACCTACCAGTATCTCGGATCCGACCATGTCGCAACCAAATACATGCAGATAGGGTCACAGTCCGTCACGTTGCTCACATCGGCAACTCGGAATCAAAAAAGATCAAAAAAGATCAAATATGGTCCAGAGCGCCCTGCCTGGCCTGCCATACTATCTCCTCCAATCACCATCCCGAGATCGTTCCTCTCTACCGCCGTGTCCCACATGCTCCCAATGCTCCCCCGTCCAGCGGCTGGCGCAGAACAGCCTCTGCTCAAGACAGCTAGCATGGAAAATGTTCGTGGTTTCAAAACACATTTCACATCGTGGCGACCCGTCATGTCACTTGCTTGCCGACCATTTCAGCCATGCTCCATCCAGGAACAAGATCATCAGGTACCACATGCCCCCATCCAGGGTTCTTTCTTCTTTCTCTGTTCGATTTTTCATTCTTCTGGGCGTCTGGGTACACGCGCAGTCATGAGCTACTCAGCCGGATCAGAACCCCACTGCATGGCCTGGGCTGCCACGTCCAATCGCCCTCCCGTTAATCTCTATCGTTTGACGGCAAGCTCAGTCCGCAACTGTGTATTTATGGTACTCTACGTCCATACGGCATCTTTTGCGACCAGAAATTTTGATGACGCGATACGTATCAACTGTATCAATCCACCTTTCATTGACTGGCTGACATTACACACTTTTCTCCACCGATTCCGTATCCCCATTGCGCCGGATCACATTACTATAACGTACATTTCTTCAGCCTCCGGATCACTCGCTTCGTAATAATTCCTCCTGGTTTTATGAACACCGTAAGTTCTTATGTACATGTCCCCACCAGTGTATATGATGATCAGGAACCCCGCTGCAGGCGAATGAAACTCTTCCTCCTCCCCAAATTCCAATTCCCACCGAGACAAGTCGTCATCACTCCCGCCTAGCCTCAAAATTAACTCTCCAGAATTGACAATTGCCACGCACAACGTGTCTTCGCCCTGGCCACCCCACAATTTGACATACGAACAAACACCACCGTCGCAAGCTCTGCCTCCCCGGATCAGCGCTTGACATACCACGAGATCAGGCCCACCCTCTCTAAGATGATCAGGAACATACCCAGTCGCTGCACCAATCCCACGCCCTACATACAGCCATTAACGGCCCCGAGATCCCTCGTTCTCCATCCAAGACCACGTCTATCAGTTCTCCCTCATCAATCAACGCATAAGCTTTGTACCCCCAATCCCTACGATTGACGAACATCGCCTTCCAAGTACCCAATCCCCCCGATTGCCGGCGGTTTCCCCCCATGGCCAAATGCATCCTTCCATTCACCCTTCCTCTCACCAGTGCTTCGCAGCAAAGGAGGAGATCGCCGGCGTGGGTCGCTCGAAGCTCGTGCCAAGTCCCTCTACTTCCGCGCAACGCAAAATTACCTCCATCCACCCCCTTGGATCTTTGTTTCATTAATAGAGCCTGATCAGGTACGGCCTCATCTCCCGCCGGTCCTAGTCAGCTTGAACCTCAGTCTCTTCGATCAGGGTGCTTAGATCAGGACGTGTTACTGAGGATGACATTCCGGAGCAGTATATGTCACTCGCCGTCCCAGGATGATTTGGGGCTTGATACCTACTGTCCCCATATCACAAAAACGTGGGAGCTCTGGGTATTCCAGATGTCAAGGACTTTAAACTTGTGCGTCTTCATATACTTGTCTCCCTCTTAGCTCAGTTGGTAGAGCGCGTCACTAGTATGGTAGATTTCAAGTACGCTGTTGATGACGAGGTCAGTCGTTCAAATCGGCTAGCGGAATAGCATGATGCTTTCTTAAGTCATTTTTGCACCTATTCGGACTACCGGTGTGTCCGCTAGTGCTACCTTTGACTTGCTGCTTAGGTTTTTCTAGATTGACGATTTTGAATTTTGGTATCACCAGCTGAGCAGGGCCGGCCTTTCGAAACACAGGTTTCGTCACAATGACGAAATATACGCATAAGCTTAAACACCTCTGACAACAATAAATCCCAGATTAACAACGACCACTTCAACTCAAGTGTGGTCGTACGGAACTGCGAGTCCTTCTGCGCGCTTTCCCTTTCCGGTGAAAGACGCTTCACGAATCATTTCATTGACCTACACGATTCATGATCAGGTACGTGATCTTCAGGTACGTACATAACCAGATATACTGCGCAATGATCATACACTCCAAAGTCACGGTTCCACGTACACGGTATGATGTCCACCAAAGATTAATGAAAGCCTTACGTGAAGCGCACCGCCCCGCTAACGTAGACCTGCCATACTCGGGACCGCTACTAAACCCTCAAGCCTCGGACCGTTCTATGTATGTAAATACGTACTTAGATAAACAGGGTTGGCGCGTTCGAAACTCAAAATCCTGAAACGCTACGTACTACGTAGTGCGGACCGGTTAATTGGAATGAAACCTTCCGGAGAAAGGGGGATTCTTTTCGTGCCCGAGTCTCCGTATGTTTATACGCATCTCCGGGTGCGATGGTGCTAACGATGTGGGGTAAAGGACGTAATGTAGGTTTAAATCTGATAAAGGAATGTAGTTATACAATGATGCCTGGTTGTTATCATCCCTCTTAGCTCAGTGGTAGAGCGTGTCACTCGTACTGCATGTACAATGACAAGGTCAGTCGTTCAATCCGGCTAGCGGGAAATTTGGAAGCCCCACGTTTCCTTTTGATTCTCCTCAACTTAACATGTGAGGCTTGCGCCTGGGGTATAAGAAAGACACAATTTTGTACTGACCTCTCTGCGATGCGTGTGTTTTAATATGGCAACTTACTGTTACGTCAAATATCACGTGTAGGCTCACATGACTGACGCGCGGCATTTGTGATTATCTCCGTTTACGTGTTATCTTACACACTTTTTCTTTCTCTTGCAGTATCATTTGTTGAGAATCACTACAGAGATTTCCTTACCGCTGTATATAAATATGAATGTAATAGTAGGATTGAGTTTAGCGGTGACAGAGTTACTAATGTATTATCGCATGATAGGTGAGTTACCTCAATGAAGACCCCTACAGCGGGGTAGGTGTATTACCAGGAGCTTACCGGTCAGAAGCCCTCGTGCACAACCCTTCATAATAAAGACGGCGCTGTATAGGACCTAGGTGTTCGCATTCTTAACGTTCTATTTATTAGAGAGTACTTCATCAAGAAAAGGGAGATGCATCTGTGCTGTTACGCTTATTTGACAGTGAGACGCAATAGGTAAGTAAATTCTACCTCGACGAAACCCCTTCCAGTGAGGGGAGACAACTTACTGGTAATTAACCTAGGTTTCTTGTGCTGCCAGCGCTACACAGTGAAATAGGCGCCTTCGAGAATCTAAGTTGGCTCTCGGGATTTGTCACTCGGGACAGCAGTCACTGGACGGTGCAATGCCCACTCCGATATCTGGATCAGCCGAAAGCCAGATACTTGGTGATTTTCCCGAAGTACTTGGACTTCCTCGGTTGACGCTGGTTGTGCGACGTAGCCGACTTTGGAATATTATGTATGCTTCTATATAGTTTATAGCAGTGCGTGAAGGCCCCATGCTCTAATTGTATAACTGTACTCGTCAATCTAATGCCGCATGGTAAGCTCCACTACCTCTCAAACCTTTTCCTTGCAACAAACCCCGTAGATCACTGGGCTCGTTATGAAATTCAAGCCCTCATCACAAGCCGAGAGTCATCAACTGACTCCGTTTGAATTGCTTTTTATTACCTCCAGAAAGAACCCTCTGATACGCCCCCAATGTGTTCCATACACGATGTCTGCCTCGGTCCTCCGGTCCAATGTTTACTTGTCTGTCTGAAGAACTCATCGTAAAATAGGCAATCGCGAACCGACATACGTAGTCGCATATACACTTTCTGATACCTTCTGATCGGAGAGAAGACCGATTCCCGACGTGTGTTTCTCTTGCTTTTTCATCTAGCGCAGATGCCGCACCCGTATCAATCGCGCCGGCGCCGCATGACACGATGGCGCGACTGAGCTATCAGCGCTGTTATTCCGAAAAATGTTGATGGTGGAAAACAACAAGATACAAGATGCAATGTAACATTGTAGGATCTGCTCAATGTCTCTTGGGAATCTGGTCAATTACTCGCCGCTGACCCTGAGGCAATGTGCGTCGGTAATGAAAAGATAAGTAAGAACTTCAAATACAGTTGAGTGACTCAGGGGCTGCGGTGAATAGGACGCCGTGTGAGTCAACTTGAACCCTGTCTGAATACGGGCGCTGACATCGTCCGTGTAGGCTTGTAGCTTTCCCAGCATCAGCACTATGCCCTCCAAATCACTGCGCCACATGCAAGACTTCGGCCTTCACAGCCTTGACGTCAAAACTTGTGACTTAAGGTGGAGCGGGGGAATCGGTATAGCGTACTGACAGAGGTGGTATGGGCGCCTCCAGAAGCAGGCCGTGCGGGTGACGGTCGCTCGGAGGAGGACTGGGAAGACTGCCAGAATCTTGGTCCTCAACGCCGAAGCAGAATTATTAAGCGGCAATTTGTATCAAGGCGCGTCATTGTTAGTCCTCAGTTATTGGCGGAGAACTTTATGATCTGCAGAGCTCGAGACCGAATGGGAGGGGGCGGAATAAATCAATTGTGATAATGAGTGGGACTAGGAAGATCTGAGCAAGAGCGAGCCGCATTTGGATATCAAGTCCGAGATTTTGCGATGATGTTCAAGTCTTCATTGAATGTCGCTGATGGGTTGGTACATGTGTCATATGTATAATGTATACAGTCCCTTCGCGAAGGAGAAGACAGAACCAGAGGAGAAAAACGCTAGTAGATATTTATCACCGTTTAATAGAGGCCTAGAGACCTCTAGATCAGAGGAGGCAAGACTGAAGCTACCCACGAAACATAACGAAAGAGCACGAGAACGACGCCGACAGATTGGACGGTCTCGATGGCGAAAAAAAAAGCGGAGGTCGGACCGAGTAGTACGCTTATTTACTGATATTTGCAGTCCGAGCGACGAAACTTTATTTCTCTCCAACACACTTCGATGGTGGCGTCGACAAACAGAATGGGTCTGCAAATTATGTCGAGACTTCATCAATCCATGGCACGTTCGAAAAATCCGTATCATCACCTATCCTGAAAGGAGAAACGCTCGGTGAATGGCAGTAGACCACGACTGCGACTTAAAGATCCTAGTGAAATTGCTGACATAGCAGCCTAACCATACCAGTGAGTTCTGCATTTGAGTTTCGTAAATATTCATAATGTCATGATAAACTTTAGCAAACAAACGCGTAAACATAAGCAAGGATGCGTATGTCGCGTTCAAAGACTCATGTCCCATCTGCGACTCAACCTAATCATCCTCAACATCTCACCATACGTCAATCTTTGCGTAATTTCGAACCACCGAATGCCATCCTCCAAGTAGAACGCCGAAATTCTGTACTTCTCATCATTACCTGTAACTCGTAATTTCGCTCCGCGAACTTGGTGGGGATTGGCGTCGAAATAAGCTTGGACATCTCGCACTACGACGTTCAACCCGATGTCGAGTTCGCTATATCGGAGCTTCTGAACCATCTGCTGGCCGTTGTACTTTGCCCTGATGTGAAATCGCCTGTTAGTCTCCTCTAGGACCATGTACTCGCAAGCGTCGGTAATCCTGTCAAGCAGGAACTTGTGTCCCACAATCCCAGGAGGGTCTCTTCGGAATTCGGCTACTAATTCTGCATCCCATGGAGGTTCGGGTGCAGTGACACGTAGCCTTCTTCCGTAGGCCGACGATGGATGGGTTTCGTTATTGCTTCCGAGCAGATTCTCTACACTCCTAATATCGGTGTGAGCCGCGTATTTGCGCCATTTGCAATAGATAAACGTACTCGATCCCCTGTGACTGCTGAAGAACAGCCTCATACGACGGTGGTGGTGACTCAGTAAAATCAGGTGGGTCTAATCCCTGTTGGATTGGTATATCACTGATGTCCCTTAGTACTGAATACTTGTTCGAAGTGCCCAGTTCTTACCTAGAACTAGCCCACAGCTCGGCGCCTGTTGACCGCTCGAAACCTCCTGTGGCAGAAATTTGAACATGGGTTTGCACTTGGTCATCGGCTAATAACCGAGAGCAAGGTTCGTCTAATATACGCATGTCATCGTCCCTATTCATATTCAGTTCATAGATTGTCCATGAGAACAATCTACGGGACACACCTGTTCAGGGAATTTCCGTGGCCATAGGGCTCGGGCGGGAGCCCGACATTTCGCGGCTGGTCATTATATCGGCCCGTCCCCTTCAGATAAGATCCATGCTGGTCATTAATGACTGGCCTGCGTAACAGCGATCAGTTGATGCTGGAATATTGAATCGCACCGGTGCCTACTTACCCGGTAACGTTTCTCTCAGAGTCGACGTCATCCATCGGAGCCGCAGGCGCAGCTTCTCGGATAGGGGAAGACGCATGCTTGAGTGGAGCCCGTGTCCGCTGTGTAGGATCCCTCGTAGGAATTTCGGGTCTATTTAAGAGCATAGTGTGATCTTGGCTGGATAGCGGAGACTCTTCGGAGCGCCTCTCTACCCTGCGAATCCTCTCTGGTACAGCATATGGGGCCATCCTTTCAGTCTGTTCTCTCGACAACTTAGGCGGCGTTGACATTGGACGAGGAACTGCCTCCCTCCGGTCACGGTTGGGTGGACTTGGCTTCTCCGAGTCCGTATCTGGTCGGTCAATGGTACGGGGTACGTCAGTTGCACTTGGCTTGGTACTTTGACCTTCGCGCGGCATTCTTCCCGGCTGCGTGGATCC